CCCTGGCCCGGAGCCTCACCGCTCATGACTACCTCCCTGGCCCGGAGCCTCACCGCTCATGACTACCTCCCTGGCCCGGAGCCTCACCGCTCATGACTACCTCCCTGGCCCGGAGCCTCACCGCTCATGACTACCTCCCTGGCCCGTAGCCTCACCGGCGCATGACTACCTCCGGACTGGCCTCGGATACCTCACCGGCTCATGACTACCTCCCTGGCCCGCAGCCTCACCGCTCATGACTCCTCCCTGGCTCCGGAGCCCTCACCGCTCATGCTACCCTCCCTGGCCCGGAGCCTCACCGCCATGAATACCTCCCTCCTCCCGAGCCTCACCGCTCATGACTACCTCCCTGGCCGGAGTCCTCACCAGCTCATGACGGACCTCCCTGGCCCGAGCCTCACCGCTCATGACGGCACCTCCCTGGCCCGGAGCCTCACCGCTCATGACTACCGCCCTGGCCCGGAGCCTCACCGCTCATGACTACCTCCCTGGCCCGGAGCCTCACCGCTCATGACTACCTCCCTGGCCCGGAGCCTCACCGCTCATGACTACCTCCCTGGCCCGGAGCCTCACCGCTCATGACTACCTCCCTGGCCCGGAGCCTCACCGCTCATGACTACCTCCCTGGCCCGGAGCCTCACCGCTCATGACTACCTCCCTGGCCCGGAGCCTCACCGCTCATGACTACCCTCCCTGGCCCGGAGCCTCACCGCTCATGACTACCTCCCTGGCCCGGAGCCTCACCGCTCATGACTACCTCCCTGGCCCGGAGCCTCACCGCTCATGACTACCTCCCTGGCCCGGAGCCTCACCGCTCATGACTACCTCCCTGGCCCGGAGCCTCACCGCTCATGACTACCTCCCTGGCCCGGAGCCTCACCGCTCATGACTACCTCCCTGGCCCGGAGCCTCACCGCTCATGACTACCTCCCTGGCCCGGAGCCTCACCGCTCATGACTACCTCCCTGGCCCGGAGCCTCACCGCTCATGACTACCTCCCTGGCCCGGAGCCTCACCGCTCATGACTACCTCCCTGGCCCGGAGCCTCACTGCTCATGACTACCTCCCCTGGCCCGGAGCCTCACTGCTCATGACTGACCTCCCTGGCCCGGAGCCTCACCGCTCATGACTACCTCCCTCCCTGGCCCGGAGCCTCACTGCTCATGACTACCTCCCTGGCCCGGAGCCTCACTGCTCATGACTACCTCCCTGGCCCGGAGCCTCAACCGCTCATGACTACCTCCCTGGCCCGGAGCCTCACCGCTCATGACTACCTCCCTGGCCCGGAGCCTCACCGCTCATGACGGTACCCCCCTGGCCCGGAGCCTCACCGCTCATGACGGTACCCCCTGGCCCGGAGCCTCACCGCTCATGACGGTACCCCCCTGGCCCGGAGCCTCACCGCTCATGAATACCTCCCTGGCCCGAGCCTCACCGCTCATGACTACCCCCCGGGCCGGAGCCTCACCGCTAATGACTACCCCCCTGGCCCGGAGCCTCACCGCTCATGACGGTTACCTCCCTGGCCCGGAGCCTCACCGCTCATGACTACCACCCCCTGGCCCGGAGCCTCACCGCTCATGACTACCTCCCTGGCCCGGAGCCTCACCGCTCATACTACCTCCCTGGCCCGGAGCCTCACCGCTCATGACTACCTCCCTGGCCCGGAGCCTCACTGCTCATGACTACCTCCCTGGCCCGGAGCCTCACTGCTCATGACTACCTCCCTGGCCCGGAGCCTCACCGCTCATGACTACCTCCCTGGCCCGGAGCCTCACCGCTCATGACTACCTCCCTGGCCCGGAGCCTCACCGCTCATGACGGTACCCCCCTGGCCCGGAGCCTCACCGCTCATGACGGTTACCCCCCTGGCCCGGAGCCTCACCGCTCATGACGGTACCCCCCTGGCCCGGAGCCTCACCGCTCATGAATACCTCCCTGGCCCGGAGCCTCACCGCTCATGACTACCCCCCTGGCCCGGAGCCTCACCGCTAATGACTACCCCCCTGGCCCGGAGCCTCACCGCTCATGACGGTACCTCCCTGGCCCGGAGCCTCACCGCTCATGACTACCCCCCTGGCCCGGAGCCTCACCGCTCATGACTACCTCCCTGGCCCGGAGCCTCACCGCTCATGACGGTACCTCCCTGGCCCGGAGCCTCACCGCTCATGACTACCCCCCTGGCCCGGAGCCTCACCGCTCATGACGGTACCTCCCTGGCCCGGAGCCTCACCGCTCATGACGGTACCTCCCTGGCCCGGAGCCTCACCGCTCATGACTACCCCCCTGGCCCGGAGCCTCACCGCTCATGACTAACCCCCTGGCCCGGAGCCTCACCGCTCATGACGGTACCTCCCTGGCCCGGAGCCTCACCGCTCATGACTACCCCCCTGGCCCGGAGCCTCACCGCTCATGACTACCCCCCTGGCCCGGAGCCTCACCGCTCATGACGGTACCCCCTCCCTGGCCCGGAGCCTCACCGCTCATGACGGTACCTCCCTGGCCCCCTCCC